CCAGCCATACCCAACCCCAGTTTTTGCAACATCTGAGGATCGGATCCGCGACCTGCTGGCGGTTGCAATCATCGGGTCTATTAAAAATGGTATAGGAGTGCTCACCGACCACGTTACTGGTACGCTTTGGCACCCCCTTCTGAGTCCCGTTAACAGTCGCGGGGTGGCTAGTGATATAGGCAGAATGACATTACTGACAAAGACAAGAGAGACCGACACTGCAGGAGCATGAAATGAATAATGGTAAACAATTTCAAGCTACTTAGAGTATATAAGTAGACAGTATATCTAATATAGTAATAGTGATGTGCAAATTCGCATCTGCTAGGTAAATTAGCGGAGGTGAGGTATTTACAGAGCTGAAGAAAAGTTATTGAGACTACATCAGTCATCTGTCACACCATGTGAAAGCTAAGTTTATGGAGGCCCTTAAAGCTGATAAATTAAGAAGGTATTGTGAATGTTCTCGCTGCCACTAAATAAGAGAAATTTGAGAAAATTCGACTTATTCTGAGAGGCTAGGTGTTTAACCCCCGTGAGAGTGTAAAACCAGCTTAGGCCAAACCCGAGACTGAAGACTCAAATTTTGACGTCAAGACTAATAAATGCCATGAATTTCAAGTCAAGGGTCACTGACTCTGCAAATCAAACAAGGGAAAGGCTTCCCAAAAGCAAAAGACTTACCAATTAGGCATAATAATTATATTACTCTGAAACCGGTTGCCGTTATTTTCACAAATTGTGAGCTTATTAGCTTAAAGTATAATTTCCACCATTCAGAATTCCACTTTACCATTCCATATGATAGTAAAGTTTGGAGTATAAGAGGCCTTTTTGAAGTCAGTTATCTTTGTGTCTTAATGTAACAGGTGGAACCACTATTCTAGTGAATAGAGCGTACTGGTTAAACACGAGTGTATTCGTCAAAAGCTATGTTGTACATTGTCAAGGAAATATTTTTCTTTGAGGAACTTCTTAGCAGTTTTTTGATACTTCTTTTCATATGTGTGTTCGACCATCGATTTCGATGAGGCCCACCAAGTGCACCGACAGGTTGGTACAGAAGGTGACAGTCTCAGGTGTTAGCTTTAAAGTGATAGAGTACGTAGTTAGCGTCTCCGCACTCTTCACCTTCACCCGGAGTCCCAAAGACTAAACAGGTTCCAGCGTGGGCTGCTTTCCACATGCAAACCGAAACACTACCTACCTTAGTCTAAAGTGACAGTAGCCTTTTGCGCTTGTACTACTGTACTATCTACCCTAAGCTCACGCTTAGTAGGTGTCCAGCCAGACTTTAGTAAACCAGGACTGATACTGCTACTTCTGATACTACTTACTAT